ATACAATGAGATTTTCCATACCTTAAAATAGCTACCAATAATGCAATGGAATTGCAAAATCTATCTTCAATCACACAAATTACAATGGAATATCAAAGAACTGAGAGGACAAAAGAAAGGCTTTTTGTAATCTCATTCACTCTTGCATTATGTAGTTTGAAAAACGTGTCATGTTTTTATTTTTATATTAACTGCACATGCCCTTTAAAGTTAATTTTTCCCCCTTCCTAAAGAGGAGAAAACTAACCATCTGTTATAGGTTCTTTAAAAGTACTTCTGTTTCACTTTCAGGCATGCTTCAAATTTCTAGAAAAGATAGCTACTTAATTTTAAGATTTAATACCTTATCATACAGAAAAAACAAAGAAATTAGCTGACCTCAAATAAACATAGAAAACAGTGTTAACCTGTGTAGGCTGAAAATTCACCTTTCTTAACTACAAAGTAATTATAAATAAACAAATACTCTCTTCCAGTTACATGACAACATGCAACTATGTGAATTTCATCTAATCTGGCTTATAGCTGGATGAAAGGAAGAGAAGGGTAAGTTGATTTTGCCCATGTAAAATATCTCGTCAACTGATGCGGTAGCACAATGTCTGGGCAGAAAGAAAACTGCCATGCCCACCAGCAATTCTTTTTTTAACTTTCGATTCTAAATAAAATTTATGATTCATTGCAAAGATGTATATTTAAGATAATTACGGACTTTGCTATGTGACTTAGTTAAAAACTAACAGCATTTTTATCACAATTTTAAATATACAAGTATGCGGTGCCTGCTCTTAGATGTCTTTTCTGTTATATGTATAGAAGATTAAAAAAATTTATTAAGTCAAACTAGCAATTTTAACTTGCAGTAGTTCCTTAACTCTACATTTTAATTAGACTATTTCCTATTTCTGTCCTAAAAATAGTAACTGCTTATAATAAATTTTTAAACTGCATCATTTCCAAAATATCCAAGTCATGATTTTTAACAATGCTTTGAAACGGATATCTTACATAAAGGTTGATAATTCAGAAGCTTAAATATAATCCAATCACAATATATTGAAACAAACTATTTGCAAACCATAACTTTTTAAACTTCTCTCCCAGGCTTTCTTTTTTGAATACTTTGCATTCCTGACTTGCTTCCTATCCAGTTAACATGTTGTCAGTCATTCTTTTATTTCAAATGGTGTAAAAAGGCTCTAATGTGATGGCAAATGGGCAAAGATTGCTCCCATTAATGATGTGTTATCCATAACAAGAATATGCTTCTCAAGAACTGTTTTGTCCAGAAATAAAATATGTTTAACTGACAATGCCTACATTTGACTGAAGACTAATAGCTATGCATTATACACACCATCACCATCTAAAACATCAGCCATGAGTGAAAGTATGCATTTTCTCACCCAAATCAATACATATACACACATATTAACAACGTATTTACCAGAATAATTCCCATCAAAACATTTATTAGTCTACCCTTTTCTCTCTATATAAATGTATGCATGGACAAGATGAAATTCTAAGTCTGATCTTTTGATGCTGTAACAAAACTCGGCTAATCTTTGGAATATGGTAACAGTAGTTTGGCGACATTTTGGTAGGCGATAAAGGTTACTACCTAGGACTTTGGGAATAATGTGAGAAGTACTCAGTTTCGATTACGCATTATTTTGTGTGAGGGAAATGAGAGATCATGAGATATGTCATATGACATTAATGGACGAATTACAGTTCTTTAATCGGAAAAGGGGGAAAATCTGGAAATTTTGTATTTAGCTTCATTTTGTGTTGTGTGAAACAATGTTGGTTAATTTTTGGATCCCATGGCCCTATCTAAAGTGAATTCGAAATGGGTATTTAGTGGGGTTGAAAGGGGTAGCAATAAGTGTTTTTTTAAGGTTGTGCGAGATAGAAGTAAAGATTGCTTATTAAGTTTTATTAAGCAGTATATTCTACCTGGTACAATAATATCTGATTGCTGGAAGTCATATGTCTGTTTGGAGGATGAAGGTTTTCAACATCTTGCTGTGAACCATAAGTATGATTTTAAAGATCCTGAAACAGGCGCACATACGATTGCTTTTTATTTAGTGGAAGAAATAAGAAAAGTTTATCCGCCACGTAATCAAAATTCTGAAGAAGATTAGGTAAGTTAGTATTTTTAATTATTTGAGGATATTATTTTTATGCATTGTTCTAAATGTAAGGAGTAAATAAAGTAATATGGTATTATTGGAAAATTGTTATTCGCAATGATTTAGTTTAAAGTAATTAGGATTGTAAGCTAATTTTTCTTAATTTAATGTATGTGCTTTTTTATATTTAAGTAGTGTTTTTTAATTAGTTATATTTTAATTAATGATAGTTTATTTGGTGAATTTTATGTTTGTAGGAATTTGGTATACGTTTCAGCTGAAGTAACGTGCATGGAAATAATTTAAATATTGACCACTAAGTATTGTAACCATTTTTAATGTTTGCGGTATAAATTCGTGGTGACGTTTATAATATAATAGATAATTTAGAGGTAAAGTTTTTGGATATTTTATTTATTTTATACGTGGAAATGTTCATCTTGGAAAGGGTATATACTTTTTCGCGATCAGGTAATTTCATATATGTGCTTTTTACCGGATTTAAATATTCACAAAACTTTCATGCATTTTCATGAAATTTTTCTAATTTATGAGAAAAAAGCAGTGTACATGGATATAGTGAAGAGTGTGCGCAATGCCATTTTTGTGCAATTCTGGGATGTTTTTTTAAGTAAAAATAAGTCAACGTGTACATGGTTTAGTTATATTTTAATTAAATGATAGTTATTTTGTGAATTTTATGTTTGTAGGAATTTGGTATACGTTTCAGCTGAAGTAAACGTGCATGGAAATAATTTAAATATTTGACACTAAGTATTTGTAACCATTTTTAATGTTTGCGGTATAAATTCGTTGGTCACATTTATAATATAATAGATATTTAGAGGTAAAAGTTTTTGGACATTTTATTTATATTATACGTGGAAATGTTCATTCCTTGGATTGGGTATATACTTTTTCGTGATCAGATAATTTCATATATGTGCTTTTTACCGAGTTTAAAGATTCACAAAATTTTCCTGCATTTTTGTGCAAATTTTTGTAATTTATGAGAAAATAGCAGTGTAGATGGATAAAGTTAAGAGTGTGTGCAATGCCATTTTTGTGCAATTCTGGGATTTTTTTTAAGTAAAAATAAGTCGACGTGTACATGGTTTATGTGTATGTGCTATTCTGAAAAATGCGGCAAGGAGTTTGCGATTCTGCACTTTTTCCCAATTTTGCAGTTAATATTTGACATGATTTAGCAGTTTTGTTCCATAAAATTTCTAGCATAAGTGTAATTCGGATAGCAAATTGTTGGAAAAAGTGTTCAGTAAATAAAGAAAAAGAACATGTCTTTACTTCGTGAAGACAAAATGATGGCGGCGAAAAAAAAATAGAGGGTTGCTGTAGCAGAGTTGGTCCCCAAATTTTCGCCAAAAAATCGCCAAGTTACCATAATCCAAAGATTAACCAAAACCTCTAATTACACATGCTCCTGTATTCTCTCTCTTCCAATATATATAAACACAATGTAACAAAATTCGAAGTCAATTTTATGGAGTACATGACAAAAATAACAATATTCATACCATAATTTGTGATGGAATAGAAAGCAGAAGTACAGTATATTATTCAGTAATCACCAGGATGCTTTGCAGATATTTACAGTTTTGCAGTTAGTGACAGAAAGATACTGCAGATTAGATCTTAGCTTGGCATGAAAAGCAAGTTTATATAACTGATGCAAGACAAAAAACAGAGAAGTTGCTTTAATGCTGAACGAATAAACATAGCATCTATTCAACATTATTTTTTCCCAATGACAGGTACTAGCCATTATAGGCATTAGCCAGTTGGCCACTACTAAGAGTGGAAATGGTTAAAGGAGGCACCTAGGTGGCTATCACTGCCACCTAAGAAGGGACAGACAATTTACATCCATAACTTTTGTGGGACGTGAACCCGGGCCCTTCGGTAGTGTTCTTAGAAGGAGTTAGAGTCATTAACCACCTTCCCATCTGGGCGGTACTTCTCATCATTATTGCTGTAGTAAAAAGTCAACACACGAAAGTTAGTGAAATACAGAATGCTGGACAGTTCTCAGTTAGAAATCTTTATCCCCGCTAAATTATGTCACTTCATCATTTTTTACCTTATTCCAAAGATCAACCAAATTATCAGATAACTTTTTTTTTAAAATAAGGAAAAACAGAACAATAAAACAAATATTTCAATAAGTAAAAAAATGGGGATAGGAGAGAAGCATGCTGGTACCGCAAAATCACAAAAGGGATTATGACTTCTTACTCTGGTTAAAGGATGCTGAAAAATGAACCCACAGTTCTCTTAGGAGTATACGCATGCGTATATACTTTTTCAAACATAAATGTTACTTATAAATGGAAGGATTTTAAAACACTTAAACTATCTTATCAACAATAAGTGTATCTCATTGCACTTTTTTAGAACATTATTACAGCCCATTAAATTATTTTCTTTTGAAGTACTGGTATTGAAAATGTTTTTGAGTTCATTAACAACATATATTATTGTCATCAGGTATAGCTCCCTTAAATACACAGGTAACAGCCTTTACCTGAGTTGAAAATCTTACATTTCAATTTAAACATTCTGCAATATATGCTACGTGAAAATACTCCTCATGTAAGGAATGCATTTCAAAAACATACCATGCAGTATTTTTACCACCTAATGCATTATGTTCCGATCTCTTCTAATTAGCAATGAGTGTTGGAATCTTAATACTCTTTTACTCAAACTTCAGCATCATACAACTAAACTGAGGAGAGAATGACTGACTGGTCATTAGATTCAACTATTGCATCACTTAGAACGCAAGGTTATAATTGAACAAAACTGAGTGATAAGTAGCAAATATACTGTAAGATTTACCTTTTAGACAGCGCTGCATTTCCACAGCTTTAGAATAACATGGATCTGGTGTCATTAGTTCACACAGGACTGATGCCCATGGAACTAATCCACAACCCATATTTGAGGCAGCTGAAAAAAACCCACGAAATTTGAGTTTTTCATCAAAATTTACATATTTTCCTGGCAGAAAAGTCGCAAAAATACACGGTAACAGCAAAAAGTACTCACCGCTTTGAGTATTTCAACGAGAAACCGAAGAGCTAACACAAGTTCACCCTAACAACACAAACATTGCTCAGCAATTAAACCGCAATATTGACTTCCGTAAAATTAGTGTTGCCAATAGCTTCTTCTTTAGTCCAACAATAGTCAATGAGATACATTCCGGTGACGTCGAACGTCACGTGATGTAAGAACTACTAATGTAAACAAACAAGCTTGTGCTGTGGTAGATGTGTTGAAAATTCGGAATCTTTGTTTATTTTTAATTAGTTATGAAATTTGCATTTCATCTTCAATTATAATTTCATCCGTTAATTAACTGTTCATTCATTTGGCTTCGTCAACTATTACTGTCTTGATGGCCGATGCTATTCGCACCATCGGGCCGATTAGCCGCTTGATCTATTCGCACCAACATTAATGTATGCAAAAGAAAATGCTCAAATTAGGAAGTGTTAGCCAAGTTAGTGTTTCTGTAGGGCTCTCCACTATAGTTAATTCTCATGTTTATTAGCTCATGGAGAATTAAAAATTTGTATTAGGGAGTGTCTTAGATGGTTGTTATGTGCTAACAATTGTGTGTTTAGGTGGGGAGTTTGTTCACTTTGATACATAGCACTTGCGTTTTGCCCCACACATTGTGTAGAACCAAAAGGGGATTAAGCTAAAGTAAAGCATGGATGTGGATGAATACTTGCATCACATAAAAAAACCTCAATGTTCGGTAAACTTAAGAAAGTTACGTTCAATGCAAGAGAGTTAGAAACTCAATTAAAGGATAGTGTTTGTAAAAATAGTGTCATTTACTGTTTGATTAGAATTTGCATTCATAAGTATTCCTTCCACATGCCTGCCTGGAAGGACAAGATTAACGCCCTAAATGAGCAAGGACAAGGAAGCAAGCGGAAGGAAAAGCAAGAAAATAGGACTTCTGTTTAAATTAAAAGTTTCAGGATTTTGTATGTAAACGAGGCTCAGGGCTGTCTGATCTAGAATTTAACAGTTTATAACAGGTCTTTAAGACCTTTATCCAAGTCTGCTGAATTCTGGCACGGGCAATTGTAGGGATTTATATTTATTTTAACTAACAAGTTAAAGTTTAATTTTAAACTTTCCTATAAACCTTCATTCCCCTAATTGTCAGTGCCAGAATATTTAAATTTTTTAGTGCGCGTGAAGGAATGAAAATTTCTACTTTGAAGAATTAGTTTAAAACCCGAGTTTCGGTAGGAAAGAGAAGAGTTAGGCTGCAGCCGCCACCTCTGCTGTTTGAAACTTTTGCTTCATGTGGCTTAATTGTATTTCACTTACTGCCACTAGTTTCGAAGGGGGTTTAAGACCGGGATCTCTCTGAGCCCTGTTGCTTAGTTATATCACTTGTTAGTATCTTCAAACTTTTAGTTTCGCTTTCTTATTTTCAGTTTGTTAGCGTCGTGTTGAGGCATTATAAATTTTAAAGAGTTAATAAAGGCTACTTTTAACCCTTCTCTGGTGTAGTTACTACTATCCCAGTTTTCACACAGAAGCGGACCTGCTGAACTCTTCAACTTAATAATATTTTTTTCTGTTCATTATATTTCAAAAATAAATTCATCATCCATCTCACTGAGATTTAATTCATAAAAATAATAAATTGGAAAAAACATGGTAAAAATTCTTTAACTGAATAAATTTAAGTTCAATAATTAAAAGTGAATTTTTAAATTTCATTATTCCACTTGCTATTTAAAACCAAACTGCCAAATTTCAGAAACATTCGGAACTACTTTAAAAATTTATGCTAATGATGTTCATTCAGTTTTTGCAATATGTATATATTTTATTGCACTTTAAAGCGTATTTGATTCTAAATTTTTAAAACACATTTTCAGAATTTTTAAGCTAACACTTTTTATAAAAGGCTTTTATAGTTAAATTCCACTTAAATTTATCTAAACTGTAGATTGCTTTACTTGCTATTTTACTAAAAATAATCAATCTAATAATACAGGCACTGGCTAATGAATTAGAAGCCTTTGAGATTTTCATTTGAATGCGTGCTAGGGATGAAATATGCACATTTTTTATGACGTGGGTTACACGGGGTTAGAATGCTAGTATGAGTAAGGTTTAAGAGTGCTTTTCACGATGAATGAAGTAAAATGGAAAAAACGGCAGATCTTTTGTAAGGATCATAAGTTTTACTAACGTTTATTTTATTTTAAAACTGTACTATCACTTCTTATTTTCTACTTCCGGCCAGAATTAAATGCTTTAACTTGTTTATGCAAATTGTCTTGCTAACGCCCAAGTACTTAAGTTGTGGCTTTTTGGCAAGGCAGAGAGAATGAGTTTTATGAAGCAAGCCGCTTGCCACTGCAGTTTTACGAGTTTTCACTCGGTTGCTGGTTGCCTTTAAGGCCAGAGGTTTAGCCCTCTCGATATTTGCAAACGTATTGTAGTTTTAGCAGCTCGGCGTACTACATACGTATCTTTTTTAAATAAAGGTCAGTCTTAGGGCTAGGCATTTGTATACTAATTCAGTTAGAGTTTTAGTTAGTAGTTTTATATTCTTACGTTCAGACCAGAAGTGGTTGGTCTCTGTATTCCGAAGATCGGAAGTGCCTGTAAAGTATTGAAAATAAAGGGTTTCGTATACCCTTCCTGCTTGTGTCGTCTGTTATACACAAATCTTGAACATAGCTTGAGCAAGCTCCCTGTTCTTATTCAGGGCATTCCATGTTTCCAAAGCAAATCAAGAGAAACACAAGTCCTGACACTTTCACTGTTTGAAAAAAGGACTTATTGTTGGGGCCCGCTTAGCAGGAGCCTCTATTTCGAAGACAGCAAATTTCACTGGATTCTCAAAAGCAGCCATATCAAAGGTTTTCAAATGTTGGAATCAGAATCCACAGTCCTTTTCTAGAAGACGTAACGACGGTTCGAGCACCGTTTTCCAAGAGAGCGATCGGCGTCAGTGACTCTACTCTGCTTCAACTGACACAGATCGTCAATCAAGGTTCTTTCCAACAGATTTCATCTCAAACCATGCCCAGAGGATAGGAATGCATAGTCGGTGCCTGTGAGAAAAACCACTCATTTCTGCCCGACGTACGAGAATTTGTTTAAAGTGGTGTAGGGAAAGAAGACAATGCATGGACATTTGAGGATTGGAAACGGGTAATGTGGTCAGTTGAATCAAGCTACACCTTATTTTGCACTAATGGAAGAAGTCGAAGTGCGCGAGAACCCTCATGAAGCCGTCAATCCATTTTGCCTTATCGTACTCTGCAAGGGTCTGGTGGGAGTATTATGATATGAGGCATGTTATGCTGTTATGTAAGGGATGCCCTGGTGTTCCTCGAGGTTAAAGAAACAGCCATGAGATACCTAGATATACTGGCAGCTGAAGTGCACCCTTCAATGTTACATATTTACGCTGACGGCGACGGATACTTCATGGACGATAATGGAGCTATACATCGTTTAGTGTTCAAATTAATTCGCTGAACATCAGTCTGACATCCGACATTATCCATGGCCACCGCATAGCCTGAATCTTAACCCCATAGAAAATGCGTGGGATATGGTATGTTAGCATTTAATTAGTTTATTAAAAACACATTCCGTCAAACATTAATTGTGAAATACTTGCTTTATGCAGAAACATTACCGTCAACATTACTGCTAAAAAAAATTACCGTTCAAATTATCGTTCTGAAAAAAAAACTGTTGGTGCCAATCGGGAAAATACATTTTAAATAAAATTAATACGTTGCGTTTACTTCGGCATCCTGACTTAGTTACGACCTCGGAACATTAAGAACTTATATTTAAAAAAAATTAAATCTGTATATTAATGTTTATAGTTCAAAAGTCTTTAGCTGTCATATAGATTCACCGTCGTTTTCTATTCTTTTTCCGTGTCCTAGTTTTAATAATATGCGGCGTGTTGTTATCGTTATCCCCAGTAACACTAATGTCATCACCATCATCATCGTCTTCTTCTGATTCAGCTTGACACTGCCATGACTTTAATTGGCTCACATGAGCTGTCGTACTAAAGAAAATGTCCTTTCACACCTTCTCTTCTAATTGAGTCACTCATATGTATCACTTGTAAAACTTCTGTAACCACCAAAGGTCCTCGATACTTTTGTTGTGTTTTTGGTTGATTCTCCAGTTGATTTAGGTACTCTTCTAATAACTACATTTCTTTTCTCCTCGTTCGAATGTTAAAGAATTGCTTTTCTTCTTGTCATAATTTGCTTTCATTTTCATCTGCATATCTTCAATTCTCTTTCTAGCTTCATTCTGTAAGATTACTGGATTCTCCCATTCGTCTGCGTCTTTCATCTGTAATCATCCTCATCAATTCGTCGTAAATTTTGGTGAATAACCGTGAAGCATTTCGAAAGGAGTTTTATTTGTAGTCTTATTTTATCATATTGTTTAGATTTCTTTCGCATTCCTTAATCTTTTTGTCCCAGTCTCTCTGATTCGGATTTTCCATACTCGTTTTAATCGTAGGCAAAATTGTTCGATTTGCTCTTTCCACCATTCCATTACCACTTGGATGCTGAGTTGAATTGAGTGTATGACTGATTCCATTATTTTGACAGTCTCTCGAAATTCCTTCGCTGTGAAACATTTCCTCTATCGCTGATAATTTTTTCTGGTAACCCAAATCATCTACAAAACTCTCAATGCAACTAACACAATACTTGGTTGCAGTACTTTTTCATAGGATATAAGCGTGTAAATCTCGTAAAATTATCAATTATTACAAATTAATTCGTATTTCCTCTTGAACTTTTTACGATGGTCCTAAATGATCTATATATAACTGCAAAAGGTCTTCTACCAGGTCTAATTTGGATGCAGTACTCCTTGTTTCTTACCACTAGGCATTTTATTTACTAGCATTCGAAACACATCGAAATGTGACGCATAACTTATCGTTTCATTCCTTTAAAACCAGTATGATTCCTTGATTTTGGCAACAGTTCTGTCTGCTGAAAAATGTCCAAAAGATCGTGAAATTTTACTACAATACCTTTTTCATTGATTTAGGTATGACATATAACAATTTCTCCTTTCCTGATCTTCACTTTACGAAACAACCGATTATTCTTCAAGACGTAATTTTTCAGTTACAT